GACAGATATGTTTTCTATGAAGCCAAGTGTATATAAATATACTTACCAGCTAGGCATGAGGGTATGGCTCAAGACTCAATCAGCTAGTCATTTCTTGTCTCCCAGGATGCAAATTACATCCCCAGAATGTTGCAGGGTATCCTGTCAGGGCTTTGAGTATACTCGAGGAATTAAACAAATACTGATTAGAGGATTCTTACAATTTGCCGGGCACCATGCCAGCCACTACAGGTAGTGCAGGGAGCAATATACACATAACCTCACATAACCTAGTCCTCAAGGAGCTATAGTCTACAGGGGGGAGTCAGAGATTGATCAAGTGATCTTAACAGTGATGCTCATTTGGGAAGTAAAGTCAAGGGTGCTTTGGACCTACTTACCAAAGAGGTGGACTGCACTGACTCGGGAGCTGTTATTAAGAAAGATGAAGACTACATTATGTGTAGAGGAGATGGGATAATGGCCTAAATCAGAGGGCTTTAAAGATATTAGCATCACAAGATTCAGTTTAAGATTGGTCAGCCCGTGGTTTTTATATTGTATTCCACAGTACCAGATGATGCATAAAAACGCACGTCGGGAGGCCGAGGCATGTGGATCACATAAGGTCAGGAGTTTGAGACCAGCCTGGCCAACATGGTGAAATGCCGTCTCTACTAAAAATACAAAAATTAGTAGCCGGGCCTGGTGGCATGAGCCTGTAATCCCAGGTACTAGGAGGCTGAGGCAGGAGAATCACTTGAACCTGGAAGATGGAGGTGGCAATGAGCCGAGATAGCACAACTGCACTTCAGCCTGGAACAGAGCAAGACTGTCTCAAAAAAAAAAAAAAAAAAAAAAAAAAAAAAAAAAAAAAAAAAAAAAAAAAAAAAAAAAAAAAAAAAAAAAAGAAGGAAAGAAAGAAAATGCACTGGGGGACCCAATTGGAATAAAGAAAGTGCCAAGAAGGCATAGCCATAAGTCTCCTTCCCCGAGATTCAATAGAACAGCTGTGCTTTTATCTTTTTTACAGTGGAGTAGCATTTGGGTGAGGTGGGGTGCGTCCTGTGTTCTAATGTTGGCCCATAGGGTACAAATAGCTTAGAAGCAAAATGATCCATGAAAACCTACGCAAGAAGACACTATGCAGAAGACAGATATAACATTTGCCAGTCCAACTCAGCCTCAGTAGGTTCCAGACAGTCGGCTGTTCCTCAGAGATGAGCACAGTTCTTGGGTTGGGTACCAGGTGGAGCAGGATTAGGCCTGGACACTATATTGCCTACACAATAGACATCTTTGATAGGCTGCAAAAGAGCCTAGAAACACACTCAGTGTAAAAAGAAGCTCCCATCATAAGAAGTGCCTGGATGCTGAGCCTGAGTGGGGAAATGACAGGTCCTCATCCCCCAACCCAGGCTCACTGCAGGACACTTGCAGTTGAAGGAGACTGAGCCTGCTTTCCCCAGATATTCTAATAATGTATACTCCCTCTTTCCTCCTCCCCCTCTCCCTTAACATTGTATGCTGTACGTGTTTTGGGGGAAGGGGAGAAGAAGGTTGGTGGGCTCCATATAAGTGAAAAATACAAGGGCTATTCTTAATATTTTAATACACAGGACACCTCTAATTATTATAAATTGCAGGCTATTGCACTGACAAAGAAGTCACTGAACAGAGTTAAAACAAAAAGCCATCCAGCACAGGATTGTGAATGACCCCTGTTTCCATCACCATGAATTGAGCTTGACCCAGATCTAAGAAAGGTGATGACAGGGCAACTGATCCACAGTCTCCCTAAGGCCTGAATCACACAAGCCAGCTCGCTTCTTCTCTGCCAATGTGCGTGCCGAGACCAAACTGGGCTGAGAGATGTTCTTTTCACAAGCAATCACTTTAGAAACTCAGTGCCCAGGGCTTTTACTGGGGGCCAGTCACCTAGGTGTCCCCTGCCCAGCAGATTCCAAAATTTCAGACTCCTAGACAGAAAACAAGCATTCAGCATGAGCCATATTGTTTGCACAAAGAGTTTAGGCATAGAGACCCGCTATCATCAGTTAGGGAATGGTGGGAGCCCTCCTACCGAAATCCGAGTTCCTAGACACCGGCTAAGCCTCAGCCTTGCCAGCAGCCTTTCTAAGGAAGGCATCCTTAGGCCTCCTGCCATTAAGAGGCAGGATACACAGGTGACTATGTGGGGAAATTCCTATGAAAGGGGGAGACTGTTGGTTTGAGTGTAAAGGGTGGGAAATGGGGTGACTAAAGTCCATGAGTGTCCTTTTATGCATGCATGGGAAACAGGGCTTATGGGAAGAAAGTCCTTTTGGAAGAAGCCTGTGTGTTCTAGCTTGAGGGAGAAATAGCCAAGTAATGTGGCCACTTCACACCCGACCCCTTCTATCACACACTCGCACACACACAATGACATACACACACTCACACCTGAGCTTCTCCACCCCAGGAAAAAATGTCTAACGCATATCTCATGGCTGAAGCTCTGATCAAAATTCCTCAAAGGCAGTTGTAATTATTAAATTGAGAGAATTATGAAGCACTTTTCTAAACTGGAAAGGCTTATCAAGAATAGATCATGAAATTAATAGGTATGAACAAACTTCCATAGAAATAGACTTATTAGCAAGTATGTCTACTGCCCAAAAGTACAAGAATCCTTTCCTCTGGATTGAGAAAAATGACTCAAAGAAAAAAGCTTTATATAGAAGTGATTCTACTTTAATTTTTATTGCTGGACTTTAGCAGGTTTCTGCAGCAGGTGCAGCTCACAGGCTGGGAAGTCAGAGAGAAGCAGGACATGCCTACAATCAGAAGGGCTGATCATCTCATGCAGACCCTACCTTCTTTGCCCAAAGACTGGCCACTTCTCTTTTTTTACCCCAGGACCAGAGTGTGAATTTAGCAGGATGAAATGGCTGGTGACAGATGGCATTAACTCCATTTCTATTCTCACTGGATCTTCACTTTCCTGGCATTAGCTTCTCTGATGCTGAGAACCCAGCAGAAGCAGCTCCTTAGTTCTGGTTACAAAGCACGGTGCAGCCCAATGAGAAACTGAAAATTTGATCTGACTGGACCAAGCATCCCTTGTAAAAAGTAACTTAACAGGTAGATTCATGGAGAATTCCTGTGACTTGGGAAGAGGCTTTAGCCTGGAATGTGGTGGATGGGAAATGGTGGTGGGGAGGAGGCTTAACTGAAAACTGGGCACCTAAGTTTCCAGATTCCTGCTTCTTTTCAGCAGTGACACAATCACCACTCACTCACCATTCAAAACTCAGCTCTTAACTTTTTTTTTGTCTTTTCACTAAAGATACCCAAGTAAATAGGGGTCCTCTGGTGGGGAAGACGGTCCCATATGTACTAACTTTCAGTCCTTTCATGAGTTCAGAAATCTTTATTCAACGCTAATTTTCTTCCCCATGCAAAATAACTTGTACCAATTGATATTTGAGAAATCATAGCCCTGATGTACCCACACTTAGTTTGGTCTCAGCTGGGACCATTTGCCTATGTCATTTGAATAAATTCACATTTCAGTTTAAATAGTCACTTCTAGTTGATGGCTGCAATATTAGAGCAGCATTTGGAAGTTTCTACAACCTTAGCTAAGTGGGAAAAATTTGGATATGACCAATCCTATGTGAACTCTAATATGGTTCATTTGAGGTTAGAATTTGATATTAGACAGGTCAGTGAAATTTGAGTTTGTCAAAGCTATTGCTGTATTCTAATGTTCTTCTGGTACCTCTTGGCATATGCAAGGAAGCAGATAATTGTGGTTTCTTCACCCACCTTCTTACAGGAAGTCCCAGTGTAGAGGAGCTGTCCATGGTAGGAGATTTCGTTAGACAAGCAGCAGGCAGCAGGTTCTTTTACAAAACTCTTTTCTCACACGTTGTAAGTTGGGAGCCCAGAATGTAGACCTTTCCTGGGCCTCCAGAGGCAGGAAAGAGACTTCTCAGCCCACGTAGGTCCAGGCAGGCTCATTGGCAGAGAAGGAGCAGCTGGTGTGTGTGGCTCTGGCCTGGGTGGAGCTTATGGATCAACTGCCCTGTCATGACCTTCCTTGGATCTGGGTGAAGCTGGATTCACGGGGATGGAAACAGCCTAACAAATCTAGAGTCATTCACAATCCTGCACTGCATGGCTTTCTGTTTTAACTCTGTTCAGTGAATTCCCTGTTGATGTGATAGCCTGCAATTTACAAGCCCATGTCAATGACAAGGGGCTCCCCGCACATAAAAACACTGAGAATCACACTTGTCTTTTTCAGATATAATGAATTCAACAACTTCTTAGCCCCCCCACCTCCAAAGACACATATGATGTGGCCATTACATGAATTAAGGCAGGTGGGATTTCCTCACATTACTTCTAATCCCATTTGCTGAAATGAGAAATCCAGCATAGTACCTTCTTATGTTGCTCATAGTTTATGTAGCAAACCATGTAGTGTGTGGAGGTCTTTCTCACTCTCAGTCTCCTGATGCTGCCACCCATCTATGAGGTCTCCACTATTATCCACAAATTCTAAAGCCTGGAGAGTTTTAACCACTGGTCCACAGACCCCAGGTAAGTAGAAGCAGGAACAGCCAGGGTTCAGGGTGTGCTTTGTGATTGGAGGAGAGGTGGAGCTACATGAAATGATCTGGGGGCCTTTCCTGAGTGTGGAGCTTGGACTGTGGCATGCCCGTGCCTGGGCTGGGGAGGGAAGAGCTGTGCATGGCGTCTTCAGAGGTGAAATGCTGGCCGAGCTACTCATCCAGTGAAAGGCAGCCTGCTTTCTGCAACATGGAGCCCTGGAGATGGATCGTCAGCCCATTCTGAGCTGTGGGCTGCTGATGGGCAGCCGTGAATTAGGCTCTGTCAATGCTACCATGTGACTTATTGAACTTGGCAGACACTCTTTTGGTTGACAAAGAAGAATGAGGCAATGTATTACATTCTTGACATTCTGCTGAGTCTCAGGCTTTAAATGGAACCTTAATATGTTTGTTTTCCAGAACAAATGGCTCCTTCTGTTAAATCTTGCAACACACATGGCCTTACCAGGGCCTGGCAAATTATCTGGCTGGGAGAATCCAGATCGAGGACTCCAAGAGTGAGTTGGTCATCTCTGAGGTCTTCATCGGCCAGTCAACCTTTGTGGGCATCGTCCCTCTTGCCATGGTAAGAAATTGGGCTTCAGAAAAAGTGTCACAAAGGAGTCTTTTTTGCATTTGCTTAATATTCAGAGAAACATTAAGCATTTTTACAACCTGCTGTTTTCCAAGCTCCAGACATATTTGTTTAAGCAAAGAAAATATAGTTAAATTAATTTAATTTACCTGTTTTCCATAATGGCTCCTTGGAAACTATTTAGGGTCTACTCTGTAATCCCTTTTCATTTGTGGATATTGCAGAACTGTTTCCTGAGAAGCCCTTATTCTTTATTTTCTCCGTCTGCTGCATTTCAGGGCAAGTGCTGCACCAAGTGAAGATGGTTTTGTTGAAATGCATCGGGGTTACATAGTGGGGACAGCAACTCTGCGTGCCAAGTAACCAGCCCCTTTTCAATTGGTTTTGCCCAGGGAGTCACCAAGTACCTTGTGGATTAGAAAATTCTAAAATGCAGATGGACTGAAAGAGCCTTGCTGGAAACTGACAGCCTTAAGCTGGGTAGAGCCCTGGAGTCCGCAAAACTGCCTGTGTTTGTGTTTTACTAGCCTGGAGGTGACGACTTCATTTTCTGATCTTAGCTGAAGCTCTATGCATGACCAGGATGGAGACCAAATCTGAGAACAGGGTAAGGGACAAGGTTCTAGAACCTAAGAAGGACAGTGCTCTTTGGGCTATGGAGGAGGGACCATAGGGTTAGTAAATGCACGGGAGAGCTTATACAACTATGGAATCCTGGAGGCACCCTGGCGACCCATCTATGCAGCCCACACGGGAAGAGACTCCAGCTGCAGCTAGTGTGAGTTTTGGTGGAACACCTTGTGGCCTTCCAGGAATACAGGAGGGTGGGGGGCTTAAGAAGAGCTGCTCTGATGTCAGGTGTGATGGCTTATGCCTGATCACTTTGGGTGGCCAAGGCAGGAGGATCACTTGAACCCAGGAGTTTAAAACCGGCTTCAGCAACAAGGCAAAATCCTGTCTCTAAAAAATACAAAAATTAGCCAGGCATGGTGGCATGTGCCTGTAGTCTCAGCTACCCTGTAGGCTGAGGTGGGAGGATCACCTGAGTCCAGAAGGTTGAGGCTGCAGTGAGCCATGATGGCACCAATTCATTCCAGTCTGGATGACGGTGAGACCCTGACAAAAAATAGCCACTCTGAGACCATCTCCCACTTACCTCCCTATATGTCCTGAGAGGCTGCCATGAGGGACTTTCTCATCACATTCCAGGCTCTGATGAGGTATCAGTTGCCTGTCAGGCCTCCCTAGGAGCTGCAGAATAGGAAATTCCTCAGCTGCAGTTGAGGGTTGGCTTCTCAGCAGCAGCATATTCCATGGCTTGCAATGCAGTCACCACACTTTCTGTGTTCAACGTTGTCCTTTCCTGTGTGGAACGAGGGCCATTGAGAGCCGGTACCTGTGAGTACTCTTCCCTCCACTGCCCACAGCCACTGAGAGCCGGTACCTGTGAGTACTCTTCCCTCCACTGCCCACAGCCATTGAGAGCTGGTACCTGTGAGTACTCTTCCTCCCACTGCCCACATAAGTAGAAACTGTCTGAGTCTCAGAGCAGTTCACCATATCTCTACAGGCTGAGTCTGACCTTTGCCTCGGCCTTGGCTTTGGCCTTGCCTTGCCTTGTGTGTGCCTGGCAGTGTCATATTTATAGTTCTGTTTGTCAAACCCAGGAGAGATCTGAATGTATTCTGCACTGGCTTGACTCTCCTTTCTGGGATAAAGTGCCGGGGTATGACAGCAATATGTCCAGTTTTCATCACCTGTCACTCAGTTTGGAATCAACATCTTTGCAAATGAAAACCGTTTGTCCAGCAGTAAATTCTGCACCCACAGCTCTTTGTGCTCTGCTCTTCTTGTCATAAACACTCTTTCCCTACATCTCCCCATGTCTGGTTCTTCCTCTTCACTCAGAGTTCAACTCAACTGTCAGCGGAATCTAAATAGGTCTCCTGGACCCCTTCGTGCCTATGGCTGTCTGTCCATCCCATTACCTTATTCTTTGTTCTTCACAGGCCTATCTTCGTATGAAATTTAGGGTTAATCATCAATATTCCTCACCAGAAGGGGAAATCAATGAGCCTGAGGTCTCGGTCAGTTTTGTCCACATCTATGCTTCCAGCACCTGGGAAAATGCCCATCTCAGTTAATAGTTGTTGAATAAATGAGTCAAATGCTGAATTCAAGCTACCGGGATCATTGAGTTCTGGGTTAAAACTGATGGGGGTTGTCCCAGTCAGCACTGATTAGCATTCTTATTTGAAAGAGGCCACAGCTTGGCAGAAAGAGGCCATATTAAAGTGGGGAGATTTATTTGTCTATTTATTATGTTGAGAGATGGGCTCTTGCCATGTTGCCCAGGCTGAACTCAAACTCCTAGGCTCCATTGACCCTCCCTCTTTAGCCTCCCAAGGAGCTGGAATTGCAGGCACATGCCACCACATCTGTCAAAGGGTGGAGACACATTTAAATATAAAACTGTAGAACTTACAGATTGGTGGTTGTGAATAAAAAAATAAGAAAATGTATTTGGGAGCTATGCTAGGTGAAGAGTTCATAGACATGACACCAAAAGTGTGATCCTTAAAATAAATACTTTACCGGGGTGGTAAATTGCACTTCATCAAAATTTAAAACTTTTCCTTGAGGATCACCTTTGTTTACAGAATAAGAAAAATAATTCATGAGCTTAAAGATTTGTAAGCCACGTGTATGATTAATGCTTTACTCCTAGGCTATAAAAAGACCAAGAAAAAACTCAACAAGAAAGACAATGAGGATAAAAACAATACAAGTAGGGGAGGTGTGAGGGCTCATGTCTGTAATCGCAGCACTCTGGAAGGCAGAGGCAGGATCCAGGTATTTGAGACCAGCTTGGACAACATGGTGAAACCTTGTCTCTATAAAAAACACAAATAAAAAAATCAGATGACTGTGGTGGCTACTTGAGAGGCTGAAGAGGGAGGATTGCTTCAGCCTAGGAGATGGAGGCTATAGTGAGCAGAGATTACACCACTGCACTCTAGTCTGGGCGACAGAATGAGACATGTCTCACACACACACAAAAATACAATTTAAAAATGGGAGGGAGGCATAGATATTTCACCAGGGAAGAGATATGAATAACAAACCCATGAAAAAAAAATGTTCAACATCATTAGCCATTAGGGAAATGCAAATTAAAACCATAATGAAGTACCAGGCGTCAGAATGGGTCTCATAAAAAGCCAGTGACACCACCAAGTGCTGGTAAGGATGCTTCTATATTGCTGGAATGAATGTAATATTAATAGCTACTTGGGAAAACAGTTTGAAAGTTTCTTATAAAATTAAACGTTTACTTACCAAACAGACCAGCCATCATCACATTATTTGGCATTTATCCCAGATAAATGAAAACTTAATGTTCACACAAAATCCTGAAAGCATATTTTATAACACCTTCACTTATATTGGCAAAATACTGTAACAATCCAAATGCCTTTCAGTGGGCTAATGGTTGGACATACACTGGTGCATCTACAAAAAGGAATACTATTCAGCAATGAAAAAGAATGACAAGATATGGAGAACTACCTGGATGGACTAGGAAGATATTATGCTGCTTAGTGAAAAATACCAATCCAAGCAGATTACACACTGTAAAATTCCATTTATAGAACATTCTGGAAATAACAAGACAATGGAGATGGAGAACAGAGTACTTGCTGCCAAGACCAATGGGCAGAAGGTTGGTGGGTGTGAATATGAAGAGAGACCACAAAATGGATCTCTCGCAATGATGGACGAGTCCTGTATCTAATTTTGCTCTTTGCTACACAGATCTGTTTGAATGTGTTTAAACTGTAAATAGAACCACACACATTCAAGTGAATGCAGGTTGAAAATTTTTGAAAATGTTAAAATTTTTGAAAAAATATCTGTGTCAATAGTCTGGCTTTGGTGATGCACAATATCTCTGTAAGACATCAACACTGGTGGAAGCTTACTTAAGATTCTTTTCACCACTTTTGCAACTTCCTGTGGGTCTACAATTACTGAAAAATAAAATGTTTACAAGTAAAAAATAAAATAAGTGTCAAGGAGCTACATGACTCTAATATCAGTAGACAGGATTCTTCCAGGAAGGCTACCTTTCAGTGGTTTATGAGATTTGGAGACAGTCAAAAGGTCTAATTAAAAAGTAAATAAATCCCACCTTTCCAGATTCAACGTGTAAGTGAGATCATGTGGTCTTTTTGTCTGTCTGTGTCTGGCTGATTTTACTTAGCATCATATCCTCTAGGTTCATCCAAGTAGTCACAAATCACAGGACTTAAAAATTGCTAAAAGAATGATTTTAAATGTTTTCACTACAAAAATAGTAAGTATTGGAGGAGATGGTTATGTTAATTAGCTTGATATAATCATCAATCTATGCATATACCAAAACATCATATTTAACTCCATAAATATATAGTTATTATCAATTAAAAATTTAAAAATGAAGAAAAAAAGACCCCCCCCCCAAAATAAAAGAGAGAGAGAGAGACTACCAACACTGGTGTCACTCTTTTCAATAGTTCCAATAACATGCGGTCATTCCAGAACCAATTTTATAGTAAATCAAGAGATTCATCATGATACACACACCACCACCGCACCCTCAAACTTGCCAGGTTCCAGCAATGAGTATTTAAAACCACGCACAAATCAGTGCTTTGGCAGAAAAATTCTCCAAGTAAATATCAGCTCCTGTCAGAGAAATGCAGCCAGTGTAACATGAACAAAATTGACCTCCCCTGGGAAGAAAGAAAGCCAGAAACCATCACAGGAGAAGAAATCTCAAATAGATGCTGTTCAAGCGCAGAGGGCAGCCTGTGGGTGGTGGCAGTGTGGCTTCCTGTGATTTGTTGTCATGTCGTCTTTGATCGACAAACTTCTGTTAGGCATACAGGCTGCTGGATCCTTGACTGGATTCCTTCCACTCCTCATACGGAAACCCCTCTTGTCTCAGC